TATGTTTTGCATTTTAACTTTTTGCTCATTTTGAAAAATGTTCATAAATTTTTTTCACCTTGATCGAAGGATTTATTTCAAGTGTGTGAATATTATGGTGAAAAAACTTTGTTGTGATCTTCAAACAAAAGACTTGGAACAGAAAAAACTGTTGAAAATTAAAATCTTAAATTTGCTGATAATGCTACTACAGATTTTTAATTGTGTTAAATTTTTGCCAAGAATACAAATTCGAATTTTTCATAATTCATATTACTTTATTATATTGTTAACATTACAAATTTGATTTTTTTCATTTTAATTGTACTTCTACCATAGGGTAGATTTTGCAAATGAATAATTTTTAAAATTTTTGAATTGTAAAATGTTTGGATTAATTGTATAAACATTTTTGGCGAGGGGGGGATGCAACATAAAAAGCTTCGATTAATCTTTTAATGTTAGTTCTTTTCTGACTATCCTTTTATTTTATTTTATTTAATCGAAACACTTTCTCACACTTTTAAATTCACATCCTGTCCTTAAATCTATCTTTGGCGCAAGTATGCATTTAATTAAAAGCAGGACATTTTTCCCTTTGCTCTCTGTGGGAAACACTTGACCTATTTGATTAACCAATTACAATTACTAAGATTTCCCTCTTTCCTTAAATTGTAACATTTTACGGATTTAACTTTGCAAGATTTTCCCTAACATATAATGAAGAAACAACTTTTTGTACACACTTTCATTACTTTTCTGTCTAATAACTAAATTTTGTACCCTCCTTCCCTGCCTAAGACCTGTTTTGATCCTTCCACTTGGCAACGACGTTATATGTATGTATATATACATATATATAAAATGACCTAACATTCTATAAAAGAAAAAAAAATTTCTAAGAAATTATAGGCTTTAAATACATTACTTATTGGTTACTTCAGTAGTTTTGAGTTATTCATTAATAGTTAAAGATTCAAAATACACATTTTGGTTTTTTAAACTATTGATAGTTGGAAAAAACAAGAAGTAGGGGAGAGTCGGGTAGCCTCGCCCACAGTCAATTTCATATGTATAGAATATTTTTTCAAGTCAATGAGCCATCGGACATTAATTGTTATATTAAAAAAAGATTATTTTCAAAGTTTCAAGTATTTATGCAGCTGGTAACATGGTAAACAATAGTTTTGAAAATATGTTGAATACAGTAGTCATGAAATTAAGAAAAATTGGTTGAATGTTTCGATTAAACTTCATTTTAATACTAAAAAAATAATTTTTTCTATACATACAGCATTAAAGTATGTAGTCTTAAGTTTAATTTGCACAAAGAAAGAAGTTTATATGTGAAAAATTGTTCGAGTAATTACAAATTTACAAAAAAATTGGATTTCGGGTAGCCCCGCTCACATGAATGTCGGGTATCACCGCCCAATTTTATTTCGTCGATAAATGTACGGTTGCAAAGATTATTATTTTATTGCTTCAAATTTGAATGTTATATGCATTTTTAACAACAAATATTGTTGTTATTAAATGATTGTTATTAAATGATAGAATTCACTAAAAGTATATAAATATGTAATAAATAAAATAATTTTGTGATAAAAATGATAAATGAGGTTTATCTATTGTCAATACATTGGTCATTTTCATTTACACCTGAAAAAACAGTCAAAAAACATAATTTTTGTAACTGGGCGGGGCTACCCGACACATTTTGAAAAGAGCTGAAAAACATGTTTTTTTAAATTTCTATTTTTTTAAGTTTAACTATTCTTTTTTTGGTTTATTCTTTTTGCATTATTTAAACAGATGATAAAACAATAGAAACATACAAAAATGCTGATCATTACTCAGTATTATACAGAAATATAAGCAATTACTCCTTAAGTGAGCGGGGCTACCAGACTCTCCCCTAATTATAAAAAAAATTAAAGAAGTAGCAAGATTTCTTAGGATTAGTAGAAAATGAAAAACTTAAGTCAGTGAAAAGAGAGAGAAAAAAAATTGAGGGGAGGGGAATTGGGATTTTTATAAAACTATTTCATCCAGAAAAGTTCAATTTTTTCATAGGTGGTTGCAAAGAGTTAGCTAGAAAAATCAAACTGCTAAGACTTAAAGCAAAAGATGACCAATAATATTAGAGAAATGCAATGGGTATTCTGTGAAAATTTGCCTTCCATCTTATTGTCAAGAGATACATACATCTTTCATAATTCATTCCTTTGCCTACTTAGCAAAATTTACACTTAAAATACAGAATACAATTTCACTAACCAAGAAAAAAAATTACTTTTTCTCCCATAAATTTTAAGTTCTACATAGGAACTAAAGAATTTAGGAAACAGGAGCTTCAGTACAAGTAGCCCCTTCATCTTACCCATCGGAGAACAGGTTAATAACTGTAATACTAAAACTCTAAAAAAATACAGAAAAACTAACAAATGGAAATAGATTTTTCAATAACCTAAAAAAAACATCACAGATCTAATTTTTTAAAACTTCTAAATAAATGACTGATACATAATAAAATCTCAAACATCTGTTGCATACATCAAAGACATGAGCATTAAATGCACACGATGAAGAGACCCTTGAAATTCTGAAAAAATTATAGAGAGCTTGGAGGAGGGCAAATTCAGAACCGTATGACATGCTTAAAGAACCTGACACTACATTAACTATGATGCAGTCACTCCAATGGGTCTACACAAGGTTAGAATGCAAGTAAATAGTGCATGTAAAAGAATTTCTAATTTGATGTTTCTCCAAATCAAAACCCATGAGGAAAAGAAATACAAGCAGGAAGACCATGACAAAGGTTGATCGACTACCTCAAAAAACGGATTGAGGTAAATATTTAGAAAAATGGTGCCAAAAGTAAATATGTCCAGTGAAAACTGCAGAAGGACAAGCCTAGTGTAGGGCTATCAAGCTACTGAGTAAAGAACATTCACAAAATATTTCAATACTTCAGAAAAACAAATATTGAACTTCAGATGCTTTTTTTCTTTGTATATATAAAACAAACTTAAAGTGAGAATACAACTTAAATAAGCATGAGCATTAAAAATGACCTTAATATTTCCTGAGAATCTTATTACGCATACAGCATTAACTGATCACAATATAAATGAAAAACTGATAAAGCATTTAAAATACTCAAACATTTCAGTCTTTTACTACATTCTAGTTTTACTGCTTAAAGTAGAAATTGAAAAAAAATTTTAAAACACTGATCATAAGTTATGCTACTTTAGCACACTTAGACTGTCATAAAATTATTAACACAGACACTTTCCACATTTCGCCGAACCTCCTAATGAGGTTGGGGACAAAAACGTCCAACAGCATTAGCATGCTGTGAAATGTTGGACTATTAATGTATTAAGAGCGAAACAGCCTACTCACTGGTTAATTGAGAGATTAAGAGGCTTATAACTCAGCATCCAATTGCTCATTAATTCAATTCCACATTCGGCACAAAAGTAGAAGAAACACTGTGCAAATTTTTAAAATATTAATTAGAATGGGGAATTTCAAAAATTAATCAATACTTAAATGCTACAAGTTATTAATCAATTAACGAAAAAGATAAATTCTGTTGACAAAGAAAACTTATTACAAAGAATAAATGAATAAAAAAGGAAATTGCTAGTTAAAATATTTAAATAAATGAAAGACACATTCTTATGCAAGTAAGACAAAGAAAGATTTTTAAAGGAATAAATAATGCACTAATATAAACAGATATATATTTTAACTTTATGCTAAAAATAACATATAAATGCATATATAAAATTATATTTATCAATTTTCTTGACCTTAAAAAATTCCACAATTTTTTAGTTATTCCAATTTATAGAGTAAACTTTTTAAGAAATAAAATTACTCTTAAAAGATCATTTGCTATAGTAAATTTTAAACAGAGTAATTTACTCAAATATCAACTATATCTAGAACAAACCATGATTGGGATATTTTTTATTAAAAGAAAAATACATATTCAGAATAAGGATAAGTTAGTTCTTAAAGTCAGTTAATTTTTCCTTTTTAGAACTAACATAAAAAAATTAATTACTATTAAAAAGTTTGTAAAATTAATGCATCATAACAAACACATTATTAAACTTATTTGTAGCCAAGGTTGGCACGATATATAAATTTTTACACTTATAAACGAAGCGAACATTTATAAATCTCCAAAAATGACATTAAAAAAGTGAAGGTAAAAAAAGGACCAAATTTATAATAGTTAATAAAATTTAAAATTATATTTAAACATTTAAATAAAGATTTTAAGCGTCTAAGTTACTTTGAAACTTTTTAAAATCCTCAAATGCTATCCCAATGGCACACAATATAGCATAGGAAATTAGTATAGAGACAAAAAAATCAGTTCCGTTTTTAGTTTTAATAACTAAAACACAAATTTTGATAATAGACAAAGAGCTTAGGTAAAAAAGAATTTTTATTATATATTTGTAATAGCATAGATTTTTTTCATAACATACAATAAACATAATTTTAAACAGAAAAACTATTATTTATACGTTATGATTACTGTATCAACTGTGCACACTGCAAAGACAAAAAAGTCGATTTGAATAATAAAAAGGGAAACACATTTACAAAATTAGAGTAAGCAGGACATATTTCTTGTTTTGTACTTTATAATAATAAAAAAGCATGGTCAGCTTTTTGACTTGAAAAACTAGATTTTGATACGGGAAGCATCAAAATCTGGTTTAAACTGTCAGAAACATTAAGAGATTTCGTAACAAATGGAAGATGTATGCAGTTTTATAGCATAGAATTAAAATTACATTTAACTGGGACATAATTAAAACTATTTTCATTAAAAAGTATAGATTTCAAATATTAATAGGGTTGCATTTAATGTTTCAAGACAGGTTTCTGACATGACAGTTCTAAGCCGCAAGTCAGGTGACGCCAACCCTAATTAGCCTGCCCGTAAAGAAATCTCCAAACAAAAATAAATAACAAAAAACAAAAGATTAATAAAACATCCATCTTTATGAATTTAAGAAATTTGTACATGTCCCTGAAAATTCAGATATGGGAAAAGTTTTTAAATAATGCACTCTTATGAGAAAAATCCAAGTTGAATGAGTTGAAATAGAGCTTTTATGTAGGAAACCAGTTCCATTGATTTAAAAAGAGTGTTTCTTTTCAATGAAAAGTAGAAGACACTTATCTTTGTAAAATCATGCCACACACACTAATAAGGACGAGATCCACCTTGACCCATCATGGGAAACGATCCTCCCTGTGGAAACATAGACTGTCCACTGTAAGGTGAACCCATTCGAGGCATGCCTCCACCAGACATATCTGAAACAAAATATAATTTATGAATAGATATTGACGTGCGAAATCTGACAACTTTTTAGGAACAGAGTTGTTACAAGTTGGCAATTTTCTATCATGCTTGGTGTAATAATTTCGTTGATAAAGTACATAAAGAGAGTAAAAATTTAAACTGTGAAGTAAAAAGAAATGAGAATTCAGAGTAACTAAAAATGAAAGCATTGCACGGAAAAACAATGCACTTTCACTGCTGTTATTGATATTTCATGCTTTTTGGTCATTTGGTAATCAGATTGGGCCAACACAGATTATGTGATTTGAAGGGAGTTTGTACACTCTAAATAGGTAATGTTGAGAGGCCAAACTTCATGCATCTTTTTTAGAAAAACTAATTATGATGGGAATCTGAAATCTTGTGTGTACATTACAGACATATTTGTATTTACTTTAAAAAATATTTGTCGGCTTGTATCATTGTTTTTTTTTTTAAACAACTCTTAAATAAGATGCTTTCTTTAATTGGTAAAATTATATGATTTTCTAAATGCATATAAAAAAAGTGTTATGGATATCAATAAAATTATACTAGAGAATAAATACATACACATAAACATGAGATAAAATTAAGGCATATTTACTGCATATATTTTAAGAAAAAGGCACGTAAGTGGTAAAAAACATTCTCTTTGATAATGCATCTGTCACTCACTCACACACACAGATATATATATCAATAACTTTTAAATTAAAATCACATCGGACAGATACAAAATTTGAAATGCAATAAAATGTCTCACATAATATTTAATAAGAAAAAAAAGTAGATTTAATGAAAAAAGTTGATTAAAAACACAAGTTAAACTGACTTGTTAAACTAATAAGTATCCTGTATTATTATTAATTCCAAAACATTTTTTACACACTAGAGAATCACAAGCTCTACTTATTGTTATAAAATAATTTACATACTTGGTGGCATTCCCATTGAAGGCCTCATCATCTGCATACCATTCATCATTACAGGATTCTGTAAGCCTTTACCACCCATCATTGGTGGCATTCCAGGTAAGTGCATTATATATTTAGGCATAATGGATCGCTTTTCTTCCTGAAAATGATGAAAAAATATATCCCAAAATGAGATAAATGGATCGTGTAGGAACATGAAAAGCAACCTTTTAAGATCAGTTAATATGAAGGACACATTTTTTGAAGCAGGCAGAGAAAATTCTAACCAATAAAATTTTTCTAACACTTCAGACAGGTTGCTCTTTCTTTTTATTCCCCTTTCTCTGCTTTATCAAAACGTTTCAGTCTTATTACAATATTATTTTATTATAGGTTTGGTTACAGTACAGATATACAACAAGGATAGAGACTTCAAAGAAAAGGGATTATATATTAAAGCAATACACAACACAAACAGGGTGGAGCCTCATAACAGTTTTGCTTTGAAAGACCTCATAAGTAAGATGATCTTCAAAACTAGGTGTCAAATTAGTACTCTAAAGATACTTGGATATCCAAAATAAACATGACTCCAGAGAAACGAACACAATGTTTATTTCATATGGACAGCACAGGAGGGAATAAAAATATAACAAATATGAGAAAGTAAATAATTGGCACAGTGCCATCTATTGATATTAATTTTAAACATTATTTAACACTCCCCACCATGCATCCATTTATTGGATGCATTAAATATTTATTGCACTTCTAGATTATACAGTCTTTCAATGGGTCTTTTTACAACATTGTTTTCCAATTGTATCTCACATGATCTAATTTTTCCATCTCTAACTGTAAACAAACTTTTAATCCTTCCTAATTTCCAATTATGGCGCTTAACATTATGTTCTCTCACGAGAACAACATCGTCAATTTTATAAGTATTCAAATTTTTTGATTGTTTAGAAAACATAACAGATCTTAACTCTAATAAATATTCCTTAAAAAATCTTTTCCAAAAAATGATCCAACAATAGTAATCTATATTTCCACTTTTTGGTTAATTCGACCTTATTTAACATTAAATTAAGATTATTTGGAGAAGGTAAAGTAGTTAAACGTGACCCAACAGTAAAATGTGAAGGAGTTAAGGGGTCGGCTCATGTAAATCATTGTAAACATAAGTTAATGGTCTGTAGTTAATAACCGATTCTACTTCAGTTAATACAGTAATTAATTCTTCATAACAAAGAGAAGTTTCACCCAAAACTTTTTTCAAGCAATTTTTAACAGATCGAACAAGCCTTTCCCAAAAGCCTCCCCACCATGGGGCACCTTCCACAATGAATTTCCAATCTAATTGATGCTTCTCTAAGAAGTTACACACTTCATTATTTTTACACATTTTATACAAATATTTAAGTTCTTTATAGGCAGACTTAAAAGTTTTAGCATTATCAGAATATATAACTTTACTAATACCCCTACGAGCAAAAAATCGTCTTAATGATAGCAAAAAACATTCAGTGCTTAAATTAGATATTAATTCTAAATGAATATTACGAGTAACAGCACATGTAAATAAACTTATATACACTTTAGAATTATCCTATAAATACAATTGCCCTGAAAAATCAATCCCAGTAATCTCAAATGTTTGAGATTTCTCTACTCTATCAATAGGTAAAGGTGAAATAATTTCTTTACCCCCTTTAGCTGTAATTTTTTTATAAATTCTACAATTATACAAAATAGATTTAACAAATTGTCACCCTTTTAAAATCCAAAACTTACTTCTTAAATGAATTAAAGTTTCATTAACACCATTATGTAATACTTTTTCATGACAATCATAAACAATTAATTTTGCAGGATAATCATTAGAAAGAACAATTGGACATTTTTCATACACATCTAAAGATGAATTAATTAATCTAGTTTTCACTCTTAGAATACCTTTATCATCTAGCATAAGATTAACATTAGCTAATTTACAATTTTTATCTACACTTTCATTTTGTTTAAGATTTTGGATTTCTGAATAAAAACTCTGTGCTTGGGACATTTTAATCTAGTATTCCCAAGATTTTTCAGCTTCCAGTACAGAAATCGGACCTGGGCACTTTTGTTTTGTCTTCAGAATATTAATAAATCTGAAAACGTAGGATGTCACACGCACTAATTTTAGAATTTTACTGAACTTTGAAATGCACAAAATAGACTGAATTTCACAATTTTTAACAACAGGTGTCACATCACATCTTTCTTCATCACAAGAAAGTAATGCAATTTCAGAAGAATTTTTATCAGGCCAGTTTTCTTCTGATTCGGATAACCAAGAAGGACAATAGGCCCACACACTAAATCTTTGATTTTTACACCACGGGTTATCTTGTCAGCCGGATTATCACTGCCTGGACAGTGATACCACATTTCTGCTGATGTACTTTCTTTTACTTCACTGACACGATTTTTCACAAAAGTTTTCCAACAATATGCTGATCCTCTAATCCAGTTGAGCACAATTGAGCTGTCAGTCCATAGACAAGCTTTTGCATCTGGAAATTGCTCCTGCAAAACTTTCAACAATCGCACTCCAATAACTGCAGCTTTGAGCTCCAACCGAGGCAAAGTCATTTTCTTTAAAGGAGCTACCTTTCCTTTGGCTAGAACAAACGCTGTTCGAATTTCACTAGAAACGGTGAATCTCAAATAGATAACAGTTCCATATGCAGTTTGCGAAGAATCACAAAATACATGTATTTCTAAACTCTGTGGAGTCTCTCTCGATAGAAAATACCAACGTGGTATATTGACTTCACATAATCCTTGTAGTTGGTTGTACCAGCAGTTCCAATTGGCTTTTATTTCTTCTGGCACCGGTTGATCCCAATCAATGCCATCTAGTCAGAGTTTTTGAAACATAATTTTTGTTTGAATGGAAAATGGCGACAGGTAGCCCAAGGGGTCGAACAGTCTTGATGAAATCTAAAGAATAGTTCTTTTGTCGAGTTTCTTTTCTGAAGGAGTATCCACAACATCATCTGGTGAGTAGGTAAAACAATTATCTGTTGAAGAGTATCTAAGTCCAAGCACCTTTGATGTAGCTTCAGGCATATTTAATTTTAATGTTTTACTTTCTGGGAAAAATTCTTCCTGTAATTCTTCCGAATTAGTGTTCCATTTGGTTGAATTCATTGATGCTTCATCCATAATTGTTTTAGCTTCATGATAGACTTGACGAGCCTCGTGCTCTGAGTCTACTCCGGTGATGAAATCATCAACATAGAAGGAATTGCCTAGTAGTTGAACTGTCTTAGGATAAATATCTTGAAATTTCTTCAGATGATGCTTAATACAGGCAGCAAGCAAAAATGGACTGGCTTGGCTCCAAAAATTAGTCTACAAAATCAGTACACTGCAATTTTAGGAATTTGTAAATCCAACTCATCATCAAGCCAAAGAAAACACATGGCATATCTGTCCTCTGGAGAAATTTGATGAAATGCCTTCTCTATATCCGATGTCATAACTACTCGATATTTTCTAAAGTTCAGGAGAATTTTTAGTAAATCCGGTAAAAAGTTTGGTCCATCTAAAAGGCAGTCATTGAGAGAAAGTTCTTCTTTTTCTTTTGATGAAGCATCATACACAAACCTTAATTTTGTAGTTGTGTGTTCAGGCCTTATTACTGCATGATGAGGAATATAGTATATTACGTCACTGGATTTTGAATCATCACCAATTTTTTCAATTATTTTTTTCTTTAATTGCCTTTGAATAACTTCTTTATATTCTTCAAATAATTCTAAGTTCTTCCTAAATGTTTGCAATGAAAAAACAAAATTTTGCATTTTTATAATTATCTTTAAGTTTTATTTTTTCTACCTTCCACGGTAATTTAATTTCATATCTCTTTTTCTTCTGAGTGATTGATGAAGAAAATAATTCTAAAGCTTTTTCTGTTTCTTTCTCTTCGCAGATATTTTTTATTCCAATTGATTCGGTTTCCCAAAACATTTTCAAGGACTCGTTTATACTCAGATTTTCTTCCAGGGTCAGATTAGTCATAACATTCCTCAATTAATTACAGTCTGAGGAGGGAAATTTCCCTTGCACACACCATCCGAAAATAGTTTCAAGCGCAACCGCAGAATAATTAATTCTTTTAATTTGATCATTACTAATAGACCACAATATGTCGGTGCCAAACAAAATCAAAACATTTTCACCCATAAATCTAGAGTCACTCCACTTAGGCTCTAATAACGTTATTACAAGGCTCTTTAGTTTATTTTTTATTTGATTACTTGGCACTTTTATGTTCGCTGATGTAATCACTGAAACTTTGATGAAATCAAAAGTGATACTTTTCTCAGGGTCATTAATATTTCTTAAAGTTAATTCTACGATTCTGTTTTTATATTTTTTCGGGTGATTTTCACCAAATATATGAATTTGCATTTCTTTTTCTCCTTTTACTTTTAAATTTAATTTTCCGGATAATTCTTTAGTAATAACAATAATTTGAGAACCTCCGTCAATTAAACATCTTACAAAAAATGATTTTGAGGTCCTTCTGCTATAGCATTTACATTTTGTAAAACTATATTAGATCCAAATTTAGATGAAGAATTTTGACTTACTTCTAATGTTTTGGACTCCTTCTCTTCTTCTTTGTCATTCAAGTCCGATTTGAAACAAATTGAGTCATGATGTTTTCCTCTGCATTTTTTACACGAAAATTTATTACTGCATTGAGTGGACATATGACTTCTTCCGAAACATAAAAAACACCTTTCTTTTCTCCTTAGGAATTCTAGCTTCTTTTCAATATC